ATACAAAAGGCCCTCCCCGAGGTCTTGTTGACTCTAAACAAGAGGCTTAAATAAAAAAACCAACAACAATGAAACAACCAATATAGTATGTTATTGTTGTTTTGTGCCATTGAGTCGCCTGTGATGTATAGCAATCGTATGTATAGCAGCACTGAACCCTGCCCTGTCCTGAGCCAGTCTCACTAGTTCTGACACAACAACCCCTATGCCCCAGGTACTGTATCAGTCTATCTCATTTGGGTTCTTCCTCTCCTGCGCTGTCCCTCTATCCTTCTGAGCATGATGTCCTTCTCCAAGGACTGGTCTGCCCTGGCCATGTGCCCAAACTATGTGAGATGGAGTTTCAAAATCCTAGTCTCCCAGGAGAGACTTGGTTTCACCCTATCCAAGACAGACTGATTTGTTTTCTTGGCAATCCTTGGCATGTTCAGGACTCTTCTCCAGCACCACAACTCAAAGGCATCAATTCTTCTTCTGTTATCCTTAGTCATTGTCCAGCTCTCTGTGAAGCAAAACAAGTAGTTGAGAAGACCATGGCCTCAATCATGGCCTGGATTAAGCACACACTTTTCTTTAGACTGACATTGTTGCTCTTCAGCACTCTGGAGAGGTCCCTTGACAGATTTTTCCAAATTCATCTTTTGATTTCCTTACTGCTGGTGTTAAGAGTGTTGATTGTGGAGCCGAGCATGCTGTAATTGCTAACAGCCCCAATTTCTTTACCATCTATCATGGTGCTGCCAATTGACCCAGTGATGATACTTTAATAAGATATGAATAATTATGTCCAAAATCACAATAGGAAATAAATTTTAAAGTCCTAAAAGAAAGAAATGGAGAGAGAATACAATTCTGACATACTCCCTTCTCATTTTTAAACCATGCAGTGTTCCCCTGCTCTGTTCGCACAGCTGCCTTCTGGTTAAGGTATAGGTTCTGCATAAAGTTTGTATTCTCTCTCCATACCTATTAACTCTGCATGCTGAGCAAATTATCTGAGAAGCTGGACTCTTATATAAATAGGAGTGTGGCATCTGTATTAGAGGGAGACTCATCAATAACCTGCATTATGCAGAAGACAGTCTTGCTTGCTGAAAGTGAGAAGGAACTGAAGCACTTGTTGCTGAAGATCAAGGAAGGTGGCCATCAGTATGGATTGCATCTCAGTGTCAAGAAAATAATTTTGACACTGGACCAATAGGCAACATCGTGATGGATGGAAAGGAGAGTAAAACTGTCAATAATTTCATCTTGCTTGGATCCACAACTTACACCGTTGGTACCAGCAGTCAGGAGATAAGGGGATGCATTGCATTGAGAACATCTGCAATTAGGGATCTCTATATATTACTGAGAAATAAATGATGTCAGTTTGAGGACTAAGGTGCATCTAATTCAGGCCATAGTTTTTTTCTGATCACTTGTTATACATTTGAGAGCTGGACAGTGTAAGGATGACAGCAAAAAAATTGGTGCCTTTGAGCTGTGGATTTGGAGAAGAACACTGAACATCTTGGAGAGGGTGCAGCCAGAGTGTCCTTTGGAGGCAAGAATGATGAGGCTTTGCCTCACATACTTTGGGCATGTTTCTAGGAAGGGCTATCCTTGGAGAGGGACATGATGCTGGGAAGGGTGGAGGGTCAGCAAAGAAGAGGAAGACTTTCAATCAGGTGGATTGACAAGGTAACTACAGTGGGTTCTAGTGTGTCAGGAAATATCAGGATGGTGCAGGATAGAACAGGGTTCGGATCTTTATTCATAGAATTGCTATGACTCACACTCAACTTGATGGCACTAACAACAACAATAAAAGAAAGGAAGACAAACAAACTTGAACATTTACTGAACATTTCACTGATTATTCTTTGTTACTTGCTTGCACTCTGTTATTTTAGGCACTCACATACCAGGACTATTTTCCAGTTACTTTTCTTTTTAATACTATATTACTTTTTTTTCTTTTAAATAAAACTGGATTCTTTTTTAATGTCAAAATACTACAATTCCAGTTGGATTCTAGATTGAAATTTATCATAGACCAAACCAAACTACATAAAAAACCAAAATATCATCAGAATGATGAGGGCTATTTTAACCTAACTATATCCAAGACAAAAACCACAAAGGATAAGAAAATGCATTAATTATGTCAAAAAACTAACATTAAAAGGAAAACTACAAACTGAGAAAAGCATTATAAAACTATGAGTAACTTCTTGAGATTCCTCAAAAATTATCAAGAAAAAAACCTAAACACGTCATTGGCAGAAGACTCATGTAATTCACAAAATGCAGTGAGTTCAAAATTAAGAAAATTTAAAACATATCAGTTTTGCTTATCAGTGTGACAAAGAGTGGCAGAAGGCTGGATAAACCATAGTAACCAAGACACAAAGGGTACTAAAAAAACTGCTGGTAAGAGTGTAGGTGGCTTCAATTTTTTTTTTCTGAAGATATGATAGTATATACCCTTTGGCCTTAAACATTTATAAACTCATCTTAATTTAAAATGTCCAGATTTAGACTACAGTGATCAGGAATAGGAATAGTCAAGTAATTTGCAACAATTACTTTTATTGAGAATACTAAGCACTTGTCTTAAAATGTTGAATATTTGATATGGAACAGTGCTTTCCATTTAAATTCAAAAGAAGATTTAAATGATGGTTATAAAACAGTATGTTCAAGAAGATGAGTTTTAAAATAAAAATCATAGTGAAAAAGTCCAAGAAGAAGTACAGCAAAATGTGATCAATTTTTTTCTTTTTGTTTCACTGCTCTTTGTACATGTATATATGAGCTGTACATTTTGTTTGCTTTTAATAAAACTTAACAGAATTTGGGTTCAGAAGAAAAAACCTTCAGTGCCTTGTTCTGAACTTAATTTTGCTAGTAATCACTTCTCAGTTTTAAATACACTTTCTCAAAATCAAAGTTCATTTTGTTTGGAGCAGTTCTAGTTTGAGAATCAAATGGTCACATAAATGACAAAGCAAATGGGCATAAAATGTGAGGAAAATAAGTGACAGAATAACCACAAACTTTGTCCTACTGGCCATTACAGTATAATAAATTTACAGTTAACCAAAAACCATTTTTATTTTGGTCTTCAAACAGCAAACTGTTTACTTTTCTCCCAAAGTAATCGTAATTATAAAAATTGGCATTTACAATTTATCTCAGAACATTTTCCTTTAACATGAATCTTAGCATTACAGAATTTCAAGATTCTAAAGTTTTTTGTTTTTTTTTTTTAAATCCATTTTGTTGCCTTTATAAAACGAAACAGGAGCTAGCCATCAGTCAAGAAAATCCACTCCTACTTCAGGTCCTTCTCCTCCAGGAACCTGCATTGTTTATTTCCATTGAGCAGAATCTGATCTAATTTAGTAATAATTCTTCCTTCTGGTGTGATTTCAAATTCAGTGACATCTTCCAAGACCATATTGACAAAGTCATCAAAACCTAGCAGCGTGCCAACCTTCCTTATCACTCTTCATCACAATATGAATCCTGGATCCTATAAATTTGTACACAAGTTCTAGTGGCAGTAGTTGCCATGGGTTGGAGGTAGTGTTAGCTGCCATGGCTACGCTGGAAGTGGCCCTATACTATATTTCTGATGTAAAAAAATTCCTTCATAAATACATTGATCAAAAGGAAGGCTTAACTGAAAGACTAAATAGACAAACATTATTGGGGGTCTACTGCTATCAGCCCAAGGGCAAGTGTTTCCAGTGTACCAGCTGTTGCATAGGACAAAAGTGGGCAGTCTCCTTCCATGCAATTTACTGCCTCAGAAAATCTGCTGGAGGTTCAGCCAGGAGTCAATTCTGACTCGGTGGTACCTAACAAAAACAAATACGTGATTAGCATCCATGAGATACTCCTCGCCCTGCATGAGAAAGATGGCCAGTTTTCCCCCATTCCATTCCAGGCCTCTGAAAACTCACTGGAGGGTCAGCTCTGAGTTGGTACCAGCTCTACAGTACACAGTAGCAAGAAACAAACTAAAAGTAAAATCTGTTAGAAAAAAAAGGTAAAATTTATTTTAGTTAATACATGTAAATTTTAGCTATTTGCTTATTTTAAAAGCAACATGCAAAACAACACTTAAATATCTGAGTATAAAGAGCAATAACTTTATCTTTAGTCAGAAGGGAATCTAAAACATGGAACAAAGAAAAATGGTTCTAAAAGATATCTAATAGTTATCTTAGGTGTTCTTTCTAAGAGGGAAGGGTGTTCTAGCTAAGGAAGAGTGTGTTCTAGCTTCTGGACATAACATTTATGTTTTCTTTTTCACAAGTTGTTGATTTGGGTGCATTAAACTTTTGTAGCCATTGGACATTAAACCGATTCATCTACATCTGCTTTAATGTGTTTAAAAGCAACCTTTTTGTTGTGGTTGGATTCACTAGACGGTTTTTCTGTAAAAACAGAATGTTCATGCCAGGTGGGATTCAAATGAAGACTTTTTGACTGTTAAAATTTCTCTTTGTGTAGAACATGTCATTGTACACTGGCATTTTTGTTTGTGAGTGTAGTTATTTTGAGTTCAGTCCCTAAGAAAATGATTGCTTTACTGTCTTATTCTGAGTCTATAAAGCCAAAATTACTTCATGGTACATTTGCATGCTATATTAGGCAAAGTTACTACCATCGTGAAATCTTTTGGCATTTTTCCTGGAAAGACAATCTGACTATATTTTCTGTGGTCTTGAAATCTTTCAGAAACAAAAGATTTTATAAAGATAATATTACTAGTTTTTATGAGTTGACATTTTGAAAATGAAATTTCTTATGTAGAATAATTTCTATATTTTTTATGTAGAATTTTTAAATACGAAAACATTTTCTTGTTTTTTTTTGATAAAAGTACTTGAGCACTATACTTTGAGTATGTTTAAGGTTTAAAAACAAAACATAAAAGTATATTTTAAAAATTGTATTATAACACCTTTTGAGCAACAACTAATTTTTTTTTTTTACTTTTCAAGTTCACAACAAAGTATGTTAAGATTCCATTTCAAGGTAAGCTATCAGTTGTCGTGTAACTCATTTTCACTGTGATTTAGAGAATAATATAAATAATTAGCAAAACATAATTAGCTGTGTGGAATTAAAATAAAACTGAGGTGCTTTTTTGAAAGAAAAAAGGTGTTTCAAGAAGTGTTAAGATATTTTGAAATAGTCTTGTTCTAATAACTTCTTCTAAGGGGATGCAGTGATTTTGGGGTTTTTTTAGGAGTAATAGAAATAAAGTTTGAATAGAAAGCAGGAATGTTTTCAGTATATAAAATGTAGGAAAATAAAATCTATAGGAAATGTCTAATAGAAGATGTTTTTGCATAGATGATAAAAGAGATTTTTATACTAATTCTTTTGTAGGTAAGTAAAATAGATTGGAAGATGTACATATGATTCACATTTTTTTT